TTAAAAGAGTCTGTATTGCCTTCAGATAAGTTTCTTGTGCTGGAGAGGCAGACTTGCATGAACTTCCTACCTGTTCTTCAAATATCTGCAATGAAAACTCCAACAGACAGTATGTATGATGTATTACATAAGCAAGAGCAGGAGGCTTATGCCCTTCTTCACTATGCTTATAAGCTATCAAGGTCCTGACTTGGTGCTACTTAACTCTGCATAACTCTATTGACTCTTCATCTTCCAAAAGTTTTGTAGCAGCTTTAAGGACTGTCATCACTATATCTGTTTTGACCCATCAGTGGTCACAGTATAGAGCTGATAGTGCTCTGTGATTTGACTTTTTAGGATGGCCGCATGGAGTTGGACCTGGACTCCATGCTGGTAAGTAGGGGCGGGGGAGGGGTGCCTGGAGGACAGGACCATTGGTGGGGCTCCCTGACTGCTCCTCTAGCCCCCCTGAGTGTCCCTCGACCCCCACCCGCTCTCCCAGCCCTCTGCCATGGCTGCCCCACCCCAGCCCAACCCCCCGCCCCTTTAAAAAAAACTCCTGGCTCTTTAAAAAAAATAAATAAATAAAAAGGCCCCCACTCACCAGCTGCCTCAGGGCTTTTGGGGGCTCGTGGCAAAGCCCCCCCCATGCAGCATGGGGTGTTGGGAGGCAGCAGGGATTGCCCCCCACCTGGCAGCAATGCCTGGAGGACAGGACCATTGGTGGGGCTCCCTGACTGCTCCTCTAGCCCCCCTGAGTGTCCCTCGACCCCCACCCGCTCTCCCAGCCCTCTGCCATGGCTGCCCCACCCAGCCCCAACTCCTGGCTCTTTAAAAAAAATAAATAAATAAAAAGGCCCCCACTCACCAGCTGCCTCAGGGCTTTTGGGGGCTCGTGGCAAAGCCCCCCCCATGCAGCATGGGGTGTTGGGAGGCAGCAGGGATTGCCCCCCACCTGGCAGCAGCTGATGAGTGGGGGCTTTTTTTTTCTTTTTAAGGAGCCAGGAGCTGGGGCTGGGAGAGCAGGTGGAGAATGGGGGCTCGTGACCGAGCCCTCCCACGCAGCATGGGGCAGCGGGGTGCAGATTCAGCCGAATTGCTTCGGGACTGTGATTCGAAATATATTCAAATCACCGAATCTAATCACTGTCCCCCAAATAGGCCGAATCCGAAGCAAATACTAGCCGCTTTGCACAGGCCTAATTACCAGCCACCTTCCATCTTAAATGCTGCAAAGGCCTCTCATATGCCTTTCACGTAATGGAATCAGAGTTCCTCAGAGGGCTATTGCATATCCATACCTTGGTCAGAGAACCTTTATCTGCTTGTGACCTTAACATGGTTCTCCTTAGACTTGCAGAACCTGACTTTGAGCCTCCTTTGAAATGTTTCTTATATCACTTCTCTTGAAATTATTATCTTAGAGGGTACTCCTTCATCTAAAAGAGAAAGTGAACTTCAGGTGATTGTGTTTGAACTTCCTTATGGGGCATTGCATAGGTATATGTGGTGCTGAGCTCTACAGACATTCTTTCTGAAGGTAGTCTTAAAATACTAACTAAACCAAATGCTCAACTTATTTGTGGTCTTTTTCCAAACCACAGTTCACATGGGATGTGTCCTAGGACTTTGTTTTATTATGCTGATAGAACCAAACCATTCAGAATGTCTTTTTGTCTATTTCTACATATAACTTGCCATTCTGAATATCAGGCTATGTCCTCACAGAGGATATTGAAATGCATAACTCTGTGCATCTCAATGGATTATCACCTGGCTTGTGTACCATCCTGCCCTATCCCAAACATTAAGGCTCACTTAACAAAGGTTCAGTCAGCCTTCTTCTCCTTTAGAAAAGTGTCAGTATTGGAATAATTTTCATCAGCTTGGATCTCAGGAACTTCCAGCCATCCTTACTTTTCAAACTCCTCAGTCATCGGTTTCAAACTGCAAGGGAACTGAGGTTGGCTTGCTGCTACTCTGCTTTTCGTGTCCTTGTATCGGAGCACAAGCAGGCTCACTGTATGCATGGCCCTCAGAAAACATGGCTGTCGAAGATTTCAGTATTTCATGTATGAGGCACGTGCACATCTACAGTGGGATCCATGTGGACAACAGCATCTGAAAGATTCCAGCTTACCATAGGATAAGCGAAGTCATTGGGTAAAGGCGATGTCTTTTATTAGACCAGCATGGGTACTGGCTAGATCCCTACCATAGGATAAGTAACTGTTCTTTCTGACCAGATGATACTCAAGTGAACTCATTCTTACCCTTTAGTCCTAATTGGGGATAATAACTTCTGGATAATATTACCTGGAAATAGAGCAAGTCATCCATTTTATCTTGTACTGTGTTGTGTTTTTTCTGAGTTAAGGTAAAAAAGATCAGGTAACTATAGAAATTCCTCTCAGTAAGAATAGTGCTTTAAAACAACAAGGTAGGAGAAAAATATAGATTAATAGATTGTAGAGTCAGAAGGGACCACAATGGATCATTGTGTCCAACCCCCTGCCCCTGGCAGGAAAGAGGACCGAGGTCAGATGACCTCAGCCAGGTGACTATCTAGCTTCCTCTTGAAGACCTCCAAGCTAGGTGATAGCACTACCTCTCTTGGAAGCCCATTCCAGATCCTGGCCACCCTTACTGTGAAAAATTTCTTCCTAATATCTAACCTAAATCCACTCTCAACTAGTTTACACCCGTTATTCCTAGCCACTCCCTGGGGCACCTTAGTAAACAGCGCTTCCCCTATTCCCCGTT